AATTGTTTTTTTTCATACTCTCCCTTAAACATTAACTATATTTTTTTTTATTTCGGGGTAATATGTTTCAAAATAGCCCGGATAATGATAACCGTAACCATTAGCTAACTGTGCTAAAGTTAACCGTTCAATAATAATAACAATTGTAACCGTAATAGTAGTCAAACATTTATCTGGACTAAACTGTGTGTCTACTAATTAGATACCCCTCCTCCTCCTCCCCCCATAGTTACGGCTACTGTAAAAAAAACTGTAAACTGTAAACTACTATCTCAATTATAAAGTTTATATAAACTTTATATTTAATTATTAAATATTTAGATGAAGTTGAATATACCCTATATTTTATGTATTTTAAAAAATTAATTTGTAAATAACAATGATTAATAATAAATGTATACTTTATCAGTGATCAAAGCTAAATGTTATCATGATAACTTTTTCATTTAATTAACACATTATTTATGGCACATATAACATTTAAAATTATACTTATATATCATTATTAATTTATCAATGCTAATTTTAATTATTTTGTACTAGTTTATATGTAATTATGTTTAATTTTTTTCCAGAATCTTTAAATAAATTATAATAAAAATATTTTTTTAGTATTTGTAACTTTTATCACTGGTATATATTAATAAATTAATATATATATATATATATAGTATAATTGTTTAATATTAAAAAATTAAAAAAACGATATTATTTTCTTTACTAAATCTTATTATTAATTTTTAAAAATATTAAAGTTTAATAAGTCACTATAATTTAAGTTACAGCTTTTTTATTGTTTTATATAATTTTTAATTATTAATTTTCTAATACTAATTATATTTTAACTATTGTATATTATTTATTTTGGGGGTAATATATGTTTGTCTATTAGTGCCGATAGTATAGACCAAATAATAATAGCCGTGTCCATAAGCTAACTGGGTAATAGTTTATCTATCAATAATAAGTAGCCGTTTTTTTATTAATATAAACTGTAAATAACTTTATATATATATATATATTGATTTAAGTATAAATTAATTAGTATTAATTAAGTTAATTTAATTAGTATAATAATATCTATAAGTAATATATAAATACTAATAGACATTAACTATATTTATTTATTTTTTTGATTCTAATATGTTTTATAATAGCACTGACATGTGAGTATTATTAATTAACCGATTAATAAAAGCAGTTATAATAGTAATATTAGTTGACATTTATCTGGACTAAACTGTGTGTCCACTAGTTAGATACCCCACCCCCGCATAGTTACGGCTACCATAATAGAATTTACTGTATTTTTTCACCCCCACCCCATCCCCGATTTGACTACCAAATCGATACAAATAGTTTGTAATAATAAAACCGTTTATTATTTAAAAAATATATTTTACTTTAGACTTGTCTTTAAACAAATTATCTAATAATATACTTAAATATACTATTTTTTTATCTTTATATATTTGTAATAAAATTTAGTATTTTTTTTATAAAAAAAAATAATAATTTAAAACTTTTTTTTTATTTTGATTATTATTAAAACAATTTTTATCACTTAAATTTTATAATTATTATTTTTTTATAGATAACTTTAAATTATTAATAACTATGTTGCAATTTTGTTTAAAACAAATAGTAATATAAAATAAGCATTAATTAAATAACTTTAAAATTTTTATTAACTAAATTAATATTTTTATTTGTTCAATTAATAATTTTAATATTTTTAATATTATAGATTTATATTTAATTATTTAATATCTAGATTTAAAATATAAATAAAAAATTATTAAATTTAGTTATTTTAAAATAAAAATATTATACGGAACGTTCGTGACCACTAATTTTTATTAATTTGTTTTAAATATTTAATTTTAATTTTGCATTAAATTTTAAGTTACAGTTTTTCGTTGTTGTTTTATAGTTTAAATTATTAACAATTATAATACTAAATAAAAATTAACTATATTTTTTTGGTTAATATGTTTCATAATAGTGCCGATAGTATATAGTTTAAAAATAAACACTTTAAAATTTTAAAAAATTTTGAATTAATAATGTTACTAAAATTTACTATTATTTTTTACTTTATATAATTTTACAATAAGTTAATTAATTTTTTTATATCAAATAAATTTTTATTACTTAAATTTTATTATTTATTTTTTAAAGAAAATAATAATTAATAACTGTATTGCAAAAACATATTTTCTATTAATAGGCGATCATTTATACAAACTTTATAACTATATTTATTTACTATTTAATTTTTAATAACTATTTGCAACAAACATAAACAAAATTTTATATATATATATCATAATTTATAATAAAAATAAATATATACTATTTTTTGCATTAAATATTATTTAATTACTAATAGTAATAAATTAATCATTAATAGTATATTTTGTTACTTTTTATTATTAGATTTTTACTATTAGATTTTTATTATTAGAAAATTAAATACTGTTTATTTGATTTGTATCTAAAAAAATTAATATTTAAATGTAAATAATAAAAATTAATATTTAAATGTAAATAATAAAAATTAGAATAATTTAAAATAAGTTTGTTTAGAAATTTTTAATTTCAATAAATTTAAAATTTGTTTCGTTAAAAATTTTATAAAACTAAAAAAAACAATTTATTATAAAAATATATTTTAACATTAATTATTTGCAATTAATATTATTACTTATATAATTAGAATAAGAGTTAAAGTTATATTAAAAAATTATTATAGCTTTTATAGTAAAATACATTTTTATTAATTAAATTTTATAATTTTTTAAATACTAACTTATAACAACTGATAATTATTTATGTTTATTAATTATTAACTATTTAATTTATATATTAAATGCTAATATTAAATGTAAATATAAATATTAAATGTTTTTAAATAAACATTCAATTAACTAATAGACTTGATAAGATATTTATATAATAAAAATTGATTTTTTTTATAAACAAAAATATTAATTAAATATTCATGGTGTCTCTAATTCTAAATAATACTAAAATATAACTATTTATCAATATAAAAAAATTCAAATAATTTAAATTACAGTTTTATTTAAACGTTTTAAAAATTTTCTAATTATAAATAAAATATTGAAATATATAGAAATTAAATAAATAATCAGTATTATTTTTTTAAAAAAAATAATTATAAATTAAAGTTTACAGTTAAATAAAAAATAATACTGTTATTTATTTTATTATTATATATAATATTGTAATATATATATATAAATAATAATATATTACATTATGTATACTGTATATAATCTTGTTAGTTAAGTAATTATTAAGTAATATTTTACTAAAAATTATTAAATTTAAGTGTATTTTTTCAATTAACCATGATTGTAATAATTAACATTATATATATAAGATACTTGTTTAATATAAAAATATCTAGGCCACATATATTAATATTATTATTTAAATAATCAAGTTTAATTTAGCATTATATTTTAAGTTACAATTTATTTTGTATTAAAATATTATAAAAAACAATTGTATTTTTTATACAAATATTTTTATTAATACATTTTTATTTTTATATGAATTTTAGTATTATTTTTTGAAAAAATAATTAAATTAATTGTAACTTTTTAAATTTTATTGTAAGTAATTGTTAATTTTATAAGAATAGTTTTTTATTAAAAAAATAAAATATTAATATAAAATGAAAAGCAAATATCTGAAGCTTTTATAATAAATTAGATAATTTATTAATTAATATTACATTTATAAAATGTTTTACAAAAATGTAGTTAAATTATTTTTAAAAATTTAAATATTAACTAAATTATTTAGATGTTTTTTTAAAACTAGTAATATAATAATTGTTTTAAAACTTAAATTTATATAATTTTATAAATTATATATTTTACATAATTATTATAGTAATTAAGTAAGTTTACAATAATTTTTATTAAATACTAGTAAAAGCAAATAATCATAAACTAATAATTTATAACTTGTAAATTATTATTACTTTTGTAATCAAATGCATTTTGATTATTTGAATTTTATAATTTTATTTTTATATTAAAATCTAACTTCTAAAAACTGATAATTATCTATATAACTAACTAATAAATAATTAATAGTAATAATAAATGCTTTAAAAAACATATAATTAGCTAACTGCCTTGAACTAGAAAATAAATATTTATATAAATTTTTATAACAAAAATATTAATTAAAATAACTTTAATTAAATAAGAGATTTCGTTTAGAACTAAAAATAATACTAAAATATAATTATATATTAATACATTAAAATTTATATAACTTATATTACAGTTTTATTTAAATGGTTTAAAAAAAATATTTCAAATTATAAAATAAAAAAATTTAAATAATTATATTATAATTAATATAATAATTAATTTTATTAGATTTGTTTAATAAGTAAAACTTAACTACAATATTGAAATTAAATGAATAATCAAATTCTGTTTTTTATTATTTATATATTATTATTTTGAATTTAATAAAAAATAAATAATACTTAAATATTTATAAGAAGTACGCTGTTAAAATTAAAATTGATTAATCAAAACATAATTGAAAATTATATTTACAAATTATTACAAATTATTATAAATATTACCATAAACTAATTTAATAAATGTTTTTAATTATAGAAAATCCATAATAGTATATGCAATAATAAAAATTATAAAAAAAGTCATTAATTAATTGAATAGTTTATTGAAACATTAATAATACAATTTATTTATAAAAAAATTCATTACAGTAATATTAATAAGTTTCATTAAGGATTATAAATAATAAAAATATCAATAATTTTATATTATAATTAACAGTTAAAAATATTGAATTGATTATCTTAATAATTATTAATTATAATTTTTAAAAAATAATAATATACTGTCTAAATTATAGCCCGATTTTAACAAATATTGTATATTTAAAAGTCATTATATATTATTATAATATATTTTACCAGGCTATGAGTATAAACTAGTTATTATTTTTATACCAAAATTGATAATAAATGTTTTTAATACCAGAATATGTACGCACTATTCCCAATCTCTTAAACATTCTCTAAAATAAAAAATAATTTTATTAATTAAATTAAGAAAATTTAAAAACTGTTATTAAATACTTTTGCAATATATTGAAATTTATCTATCATAGATTTTCCGGGTAAATTATCAATTATGATAAAATAGCTATTGACAAAAAAAAGTTCCATCCTTGTCCATCTATTCAAATAGCCACCTAATGCAAATTAATAAATTAAAGTAAGTAAAGTAATAAATTATAGAATAATAAAATGTATATATATAAATATATATAATTATTACATTTGTCTTAAAATTTCACAAAATTGAGTTAAAATTTTTAAGCATACCTTCCGATTGATAAGTTTCTACATCAAAATAAATTAAGGCCATCTTAATGGGTTCTGTATCGCTCTCAGTTGGCGTATCTATTGAATTATTAGCCGAAGAATTTACTGATTCTACACTTAAACCCTTATTTCCTATTGAAATAGAAGTAGAATCTTCTGCCATCTCAAACTGCACTTTTGATGATTTACCGCTTTTTATTCCGACATCAGATAGTTTTCCGTCCTTTAACTCGTTGTTAGCATCTTTATCGCAGATCAATGCAAGTTTAACATCTTTTAAAGTAGCTTCCAATATTGTTACACCATCTAAGGTGATCAACAACTGTTTGTTTTTTTTAATCGAGAGATCAGCAAGTTTTTTGTCCTCGGACGCGATCTCTGCAACTTTGTTATCATCTAAAGAGCCAATCTTTTGTTTGATGTCCTCGGACGCGATCTCTGCAACTTTGTTATCATCTAAAGAGCCAATCTTTTGTTTGATGTCCTCGGACGCGATCTCTGCAACTTTGTTATCATCTAAAGAGCCAATCTTTTGTTTGATGTCCTCGGACGCGATCTCTGCAACTTTGTTATCATCTAAAGAGCCAATCTTTTGTTTGATGTCCTCGGACGCGATCTCTGCAACTTTGTTATCATCTAAAGAGCCAATCTTTTGTTTGATGTCCTCGGACGCGATCTCTGCAACTTTGTTATCATCTAAAGAGCCAATCTTTTGTTTGATGTCCTCGGACGCGATCTCTGCAACTTTGTTATCATCTAAAGAGCCAATCTTTTGTTTGATGTCCTCGGACGCGATCTCTGCAACTTTGTTATCATCTAAAGAGCCAATCTTTTGTTTGATGTCCTCGGACGCGATCTCTGCAACTTTGTTATCATCTAAAGAGCCAATCTTTTGTTTGATGTCCTCGGACGCGATCTCTGCAACTTTGTTATCATCTAAAGAGCCAATCTTTTGTTTGATGTCCTCGGACGCGATCTCTGCAACTTTGTTATCATCTAAAGAGCCAATCTTTTGTTTGATGTCCTCGGACGCGATCTCTGCAACTTTGTTATCATCTAAAGAGCCAATCTTTTGTTTGATGTCCTCGGACGCGATCTCTGCAACTTTGTTATCATCTAAAGAGCCAATCTTTTGTTTGATGTCCTCGGACGCGATCTCTGCAACTTTGTTATCATCTAAAGAGCCAATCTTTTGTTTGATGTCCTCGGACGCGATCTCTGCAACTTTGTTATCATCTAAAGAGCCAATCTTTTGTTTGATGTCCTCGGACGCGATCTCTGCAACTTTGTTATCATCTAAAGAGCCAATCTTTTGTTTGATGTCCTCGGACGCGATCTCTGCAACTTTGTTATCATCTAAAGAGCCAATCTTTTGTTTGATGTCCTCGGACGCGATCTCTGCAACTTTGTTATCATCTAAAGAGCCAATCTTTTGTTTGATGTCCTCGGACGCGATCTCTGCAACTTTGTTATCATCTAAAGAGCCAATCTTTTGTTTGATGTCCTCGGACTCGATCCCCGCAACTTTGTTATCAACTAAAGGGTCCATTTTTTGTTTGAAATCCTCGGAAGTGATCCCCTCAACTTTGTTTTGTAGCTAAAAAAATTTTTATACTGTTTATGAATACAATTATAATGCACACATCATATACTAAAAGCATGTATTTCACCGAATACTATATATATATATATATATATATATATATAACATAATGTGTTTCTAGAATATTCTAGAAAACTAGAGGTCCGAACTCAAGAAATGTATGATCCAATTAGAAAATTCTAATTTCTACCCAATCAAATCAAAAGTCTAGTCTCTAAAATTTTTATACAAAATGAATTAATAAAATGAACAAAAAGTATAAATAAATAACGTACATTTTCATTACTAGATCATTATTGTATTAAATATATACTTTTAATTTAAAAATAACATAACAATTTTTGTTTAAATAAAAAAAAGTGGTAAATTTTTATTTAAAAAATTAAAAATATAAAAAGTATACATTAATAAAATTAATAGTCTAATTTATTTGCAATTTATATAAATCAACTGAATAAATTATGTTATTTTTAGATCTAAAATAAAGATTTTTTACTTTAAATAGATTATAATAGTAATTGTTTTTGTTCTACAATATTTATTATATTATATTTAATAAATGAATAGATTATAACAAATAATTATTACCTGTTTATAGAATTTTTTAACTTCTTTATTATTTATATTTATTATTATTAATTATTAAAAGTTTATTTGTATTAATAATTGTATATAAATAATTAATATATTTATTAATTTTAGATACATTTAAAAATTAATAACTTTACTTTTTTAAATGTATATTAAATATTTTTTTTGATAATTATTTAACATTTTTATTAAGAAACAAACATGACTACAATAATATAAAAACTGTTTATAATACTGTAATTACAGCGATTTTTATATTATTATTTTTGATAATAAAATAAAATGCAGTTAATTATGGCACAGTCTTAAAATTTGAAAAACCAATTTCAAATATATATACAGTACATATGATATATAGATATATTAAGATATATAAAGATATATAAAGATATATAAAGATATATAAAGATATATAAAGATATATAAAGATATATAAAGATATATAAAGATATATATAGATATATGTATATATATATATTTGTAAATTATATTGTAATTAAATATTTTTAGATTTTAAGATTAACTTTATTATATATTTTTATATTAGTAATAAAAAGTAAAAATATTGTTAATTTAAAATAATAAGTTTGTAATAATCAATGTTTTTGTTATATTATTTTTTTAGATAATTGCTTTTACCCGACAGCTATATCTAAAATGTTTTTAAAGCGTCTGGTATATTAATTTATATAATTTTATTCTATTTGTAAGTAATATATATTACTATAATAAAAAAATAAATTATAAATTAATTAATTATAAAATTATTTAAATTTAGCAATTATTATTAATATTAATAATATCATACATTTTGTTGTTTTTATATTTTATTTAATGTTAATAGTTAATTAGATTAGAATTATTATTATTTTTTCAATTTTATTAATTTTGAATTGAATAATTTGGTTTTGTCGGATAATAAGACTGTGCCTTAAATTATTTTATGTATTTGTTTTTGTTGATAATTTTATGATAACTTTTTTATTTTACAGAATGTACTGTAATTTTTAGTTAGTATTTAAATATTTTAGTTACAAAAAAAATTCTTTTATTATTAATTGCTTATATCTTATCTTATTAGCTATAAAATAAAACAAAACATTTTTGACATTTAATATTCATAAAACATTTGCTCAAATATATTATAACAATAATATGAGTGAATAAAATATTTTTCTTATTAAATACGATAACAAACAATAGATTTAATAATAAACGTATGAATAATATTTTATCTTATCTTATATAACAAATTTTAATCTTTGAAAAATAAGCTGTTAAAATTAATATTTATATTTAATTAGTGCTTAATATATTGTAGTTATTGTACATATTATACATGTTGATATAATGCGTTGATATCTAATTTAATTATTTAAAAATAATAAATATTTTTTTATAAACAAAAGAAAATATAATTTTAATATTAAATTATATTTGTTAATATATATATATTTACAATACGTGAAAATTAACAAAAAAAAATAATAATTAATATTGTTATATTGTATATAAAAAAACTGATATCATATTAATGCATTTAACAAAACATTTTTTATCATTTAAAAAATTATATCATTATATATAATTGTGTTACATTGAAATTAATTTTTTTAATTTAAAATATAAAAAATAATAAAATATAAAAATAATAAATTTGCGGTAAACTTTAAATAATTTATTTATTATTATTATTTTTTTAACTAAAGATAAATTATTAAACTAAATTATCAAATTACAAAAATATAAATTTTTAAAAATTAAGTATGCTTATATAATTAAAAATAAACAACAAAAAAATATATTAATTAAAATTTATGTATGTATATATTAAAAAATGAAATATGTAGTTAACCATGATCAATAATAATTGTACAGTATATATATAAATATATAGTATAATTGTTTTATACAAAAAAATTTTAAATCAGACATTTTCATTGCTTGTTTTTATTATTTTGTTTTAAACATCTAATTTAAATTTAGCATTATATTTTAAGTTAGTTTTTTTTAAATAAATTTGTTTTATAATTTATATTAGTAATTTTTTTTTTAATAAATAATAGACATTAACTATATTTATTTTTTTGGTGGTAATATATTATTAAATTATTCTGGATAATTTATTGGACTGACTGAAAAAAACCAATTTTTTTCTAAATAAAACTAAAAAGAATTGGTTTTTTTCAGTCAGTCCCATAATTTATAGCCAACAGTGTGTCAATCGCTAGCACTGGGTAATAGTTAACCGATCAATAATAACAATTGTAGCCATAAATTTTTTTAAAATAATTTACTAATAATATTACTTACTAGGGATCGCAATTATAAGAGACGCATTCATAACTACATTTTTAAATTAATTTTTTTAAAAAGTTATTGAAGTTTAATTAATTATTTATATGTCATTTGATTCTATAATATCTCTTCATTTGTTATGATAATTTTGAATATCTTCAGTAAACCACTTCTTATGATTTTAAATCGAAAACCCCTTCGATTACCATTTTGGACCCCTTCACAAATTTTGATTTTTTACACTCAAAGAAGTGTTAGATTAATCAAAGCAAATAGTAATTTGACAAAGCAATATATGTTGAATATAATGATATATAAAAGGTTTAATTTCATTTTATAAATCCGTTATTATTTGATATTAAAATAATAATTGCTATATTTTTGCATATGTAGCCCATAGATAAGAAGTAAAAGTAGATAGTACTTAGAGATATTATACATATCTTTCGAAAATTGTTGGCAAATGTTATTTAGTATTTAATAAATAAAAATATAATATCTCTTTTATTTATTTTCAAGAAAACTTGTGAAATATTTTTATAAATTTATACAATTTTTCGATTTTAACTTTTGATATTTTTTATTAACTTTTTTTGTCTTCCACATCTACTCATTCATCTTTTTAGTTTTTTTATTATGTCTGACAAGTCTTCACACATAAGGCTTTAGAATATATTCTATTAATATTTTTGTCGGCCATTGTTTCTATAATTACAGGACAATATATGTTTTTATGGCATATCTGCCTTAGACGTCATGTGACTTTAACCCATGTAAAAGATTAATAAAAAGATTTATCAAAAATCTTGAATAAGACAATTATAGACTAATGATGATTGTACTTAATTGTAAAAAAATACAATTTGTAGATAACACATGGGTCACACAAAAACAAAGTTACTTTATTATATATAAAATGCGTCTCTTTCAATTGCGAGTACCAGTAAATATATTATTTTTCTATTTTTATATAATTGTACTAAAATTTACAGTTTTTATTTAAAAAAACTAATTAAATTTTTTGTTTGTTATCAAATCAATTTTTATTATTATTATTTTTAAACAAAATAGTTTTATATTATTAATAACTTTGTTGCTAAAACATTTTTATTTATTTTTTGTAAGGAATAATCGATTTTATATGAATAGTTTTTAAATAATTAAATAATTATTTTTTATAATTTATTAAAATCAATCAATTAAATTACATTTTTGTTTTATAAATATATTAATAAATTAAGCATTAATTTATTAACTGTATTAGTAGTTTTATTTGTCCGATTAATATTTTTAATATTTAAAACAAATCTCATTTATTTATTTATATAGCTTTTTACTAAAGCTATATAAATAATTAGATAAGTTATAAAAAATTTATAAATTGTTTTATTTAAAAAAATATTTTTTAAAATATAAATTTTTAATTAACTATGATTATAATAATTTTACAGTATAAATATATATATATAATTTAATTGTTTAATATAAAAACTATTTAAAAAATAAGATGATCATTAGACAGCTAATTGTTATTATTATAATTTATAGATTTTAGCATTTGATTTTAAGTTACATTTTTTTTATATTAAAATTATAATAAACTTTTGTATTTTTTATTATTATTATAGATTATATTATAAATTGATTATTATATTATTGATTGTTATAACTGATTGATCTATAATATAGATTCTATATATTGTATAATTGTTTAATATAAAATTTTTTAAAAAAAATACACAGTTCGGGTTCGACCCACTAAGTATTATTATTTTTTTTAAATATTTAGTTTAAATTTAGCATTATATTTTAAGTTACAGTTTTTTTTGTTTTTGTTTTATAATATAAATTATTAGTATTTCTAATACTAATTAGACATTAATTATATATATATATATATATATATTCGGGTAATATGTTTCATAATAGAGTCGATAGTATAGCCATGGATTATGATATACCTATCCATAGCTAGCACTGGGTAATAGTTAACCGGTCAATAGTCAACGGTTGTAACCTATAAAGTAGTAGTAGTAGTAGTAGTAGCCAATTATTTTACTAAAACCCTATCCACTCATTAGATACCCGTCCAATATATACCGTATTTTGTTACCCCCTTTCCACCACACACCCCTCCCCCTCCAGGCGTAAATAACAAATTCATACAAATAGTATATAATTTAAAAAAAAACTATTTTATTATTTTGTCAATTATTTTGACAAATAATATTACATAATATATATAATAGTATTTTTAAGCGTAAAATTCAAGTAATCTGTAACTAAATTTTTTCAATATATTAACATTTTTTTCAACAATTTTTTCATTATATTTATTAAAATTTATTAAATAATTTTATAACTATATTTATTTTCTAAATTTTAAATTTATATTTGTTTAAATAGTTAAAATATTAACAAATATTAATATTAATTTTTAAAAAAAACATTTAACATTAGCTAATAGACTTGATTTTGAAAATATATTTATATAATAAAAATTATTTATGTTGAAAATAACTTTAATTAAATTATAATAATGGTTACGAACTCAAAATAATAGTAAAATAAATTAATTATCAATTTAATAAAATCTAAATAATTTAAATTACAGTTCTAAATTTGTTTTATAAATATACTAACTATATTTCATTATTTGTTTAATTAATAATTTTAGTAGTATATAAAAAAAACTGTAACCTACTATCTC